GGGGGGGGGAGGGGGGCTTTCCAACTCCCTTGGGTTCCTGAAGTATTTCCAAACCACCCCCAACAGGAGGTAGTGAGGAGATTTAGCCACTGATATTCTAGAGGTTTCAGTACAACTCTCTGCCAGTGGATATGGAGACCCACATTGAATTTAGGACTGTTCTGTGTTCTTCCCTCTTGCCTCACTTCCCACACGGCTTCTTTTCTTTTACTCCTCCTTTTCTCTCATTCATCCCTTTACCAATTAATTTGTGAGCTTCTACTGTGAGTCATGTTTTAGGATGGGGATAAATACACTCAAGCTTCTCTCTCTGAACAATGCTGAAGGGCTCTAGTGGGGATAAATCAGCAGGTAATTAAATACCATGTGATAAACAAAGTAATGGCACAAAAGACTATTGGGGGAAAAGGATCGCTGAGTCAGATCTCAAAAGATCAGACGAAAGGGTGGGCATCCCCGGAAAAAAGAAAATAAACAAACATGCGCCACAGCAAGAGCCTTGAGAGAGGCTGGAGGAGTGGGTGTGGCTGGAGAGCTGGGCTTTAGGAGGAAGACACCAGTGATTTTAGCGCCACCTGATGGATTCCCTGGGCCGGTGAGGAAGCTTAGACCTTATTTTGCCAGCAAAGGTTTGTTTGTTTGTTTGTGCATAGCAGGGCAGTGAGGTGATCAAGTGTGCGTTCTAGAAAGATGACTCTGGCCATAGCGTTTGTGCGGAGATGTGTAGAGGTGGGCTGAGCAGACCTGCACTCTCGTTTCCTGGCATTTTCTTTTCTGTAGCTCTTTATTGTTCACCTTTATCCAGCTCCCCTCTCTTCCTGGACACCTATCTCTCCCTCTTCCACTTCCCTTCACCTTCTTTCTCTTCCCTCTTCCTTAAGTTAAGCAAGGAGCTGTGGACTGTCTTTCCTGAAGTCATTTCCCAATAGTAGAGCTTCATTCTCAGTAGCTGCCCCTAGGCCTCCATCTACAAAATGGATGGAACTTGTCTTAGGGACTTTCTTCCTCCCATGCTGTCCATTTGCATGAACTTGGTGTTCAAATTTGACCTAATTTGGGGAAAGGAGTTGATAAATTTGAGAGGGTGATATAGAGAACTACCTAGAATGTCATTTTCCCTTACCTGGGAGAAAACTTCTCAATGAACACATCCTGTCCAACTTGTTCTAAGGCTCATGAACATGGTTCCATTTGACTGAACTCTGAAAGACCAGGCCAGAGGGAGGACCATGTTGTGAAATGTCACAGGACAGTTCTCAGGAAGGGGCCCACTTAATGACCAGAAGTCTCTCCCTGTTTTGGCGGCAGCGCTATGCTCTCAAAGTGGTTGGGTATGCACCCCATCTCCTGGCGCTAACGCCTCACACCCAGACACTAGATTTCAAAACGACATGTTTCTAAGTCACCATCTGAGGGCTTGGAAAAGACTTCAGTATCCTTGTTTGCATTGTAGAGCTGGAAAGAAAATTCATGACCATCTTTACCCTATCCTCTAATTTAGTGGACAAGAAAAATGATGTCTGGGGGAAAGTGACTTCACAAAAGTCACACAGACCTATGATGGGAGTTCTGGCTCCAGTCCACTTCTTTTTCTGACATTCTTAGCATCTCAGTTTTTCAATTCTATTTTTAAACAAATGGTTCCACTTCAGTACTTTCCCTCCCTCCCCACCCTTCTCCTTCCCTAAAATTTGTTATTGGCAGAGCTTAGGATTTCTTGGAGCTTAAACAGCTGTATTTCATATTAGCAAAATCATACCAGGAAATTACAGAATACCTACTTCTCAGATTGCATTTTTGGATTAGAAGGTGGAGTGGTGCTGTGGTGTCTGACTTTCCAAGTGTCTGAAATCCCTTGTCTCAGACCAATTGCTTTCACTGATTTTCTTTTCCTCTGCCAGTTTTATAAAAGGATTTCATTGACTCCCATACCTGTCCAAGGTTGGGTCTGGGGGACAGAAGACTAGACTAGGAGATTGCTCCAAATCCTAGCTACTGAAAACTTGAGATTGAGCTCTGAGCCATTGCAGGCAATTGCTTGGACTACAGATGCTGTTCTGCATTTTTTTTCTTAATAGCTATAGGTGGGAACCTGTAGGAAAAAGGAATGAGTGTAAGGAAAAAAGCCCAAGCTTATTTTTTAGTTTGTTTGTTTTAATTTAATTTAATTGTTTAAATAATTTTTATTGGAATATAGCTGATTTACAATGTTGTGTTCATTTCTGCTGTACAGCAAAGTGAATCAGTTGTACATATACATATATCCACTCTTTTTTAGATTCCTTTCCATGGCCATGACAGAGTATTGAGTAGTTTCCTGCGCTATAAAAGTCTAGAGGTGCAGCTGTGTGAAGCCTTGATGCATTGTTCTGCTTGGATTTCTAATGATAGAGAAAACTTCAGTTTTGAATGACTTCTTCCTCCCTCCCTTTCTCCCTTTCTCTCTCTCTCTCTCTCTCTCTCTCTCTCTCTCTCTCATCCTTCCTCTCTCACCCCATCCTTTCCTTTTAAAAAGTGAATCCCTTAGCAACAGTATGCTATTTTCAAAAAACTTTTGAATTATAATTGGTGTCGAGGAAAGTTTCCACGAGTCTTTTGTAAGCCATCATTAAAAGTTGCCAGTTTAAGGGACTTCCCTGGTGGCGCAGTGGTTAAGAATCCACCTGCCAATGCAGGGGACACGGGTTCGATCCCTGGTCCGGGAAGATCCCACGTGCCACGGGAGCAACTAAGCCCGTGAGCCACAACTACTGAAGTCGGCACTCCTAGAGCCGGTGCTCCACAACAAGAGAAGCCATCGCAATAAGAAGCCCGTGCACCGCAAGGAAGAGCAGCCCCCGCTCACCTCAACTAGAGAAAGCCCGTGCGCAGCAACAAAGACCCAACGCAGCCAAAAGTAAATAAATAAATAATTTTTTTTTAAAGTTGCCAATTTAGAAGAGACTCCAAATTTTATGAGCAACTCTAACTCTTCTGCCATTCAACTTCTGCCAAATCTCTAGCTCCTTGACAGTAAGCATAAGTTTTTTAGAAATTTATCATTGAATAAAGAAGCATTGAACTCAGTGTCATATTTGAATACATTTAATATCCATTAAGTACTCATGAAATCTCGGTTCAAATAATGCGTTAATCACTTTAAATTTTCAAGTGGAATATGAAACAGAACAGCATGTTAAAGGTGGAAGTTTAAAAAAAAGGAGTTAGGGCTTCTCTAGTGGCGCAGTGGTTGAGAGTCCACCTGCCGATGCAGGGGACGCGGGTTCATGCCCCGGTCCGGGAAGATCCCACATGCCGCAGAGCAGCTGGGCCCGTGAGCCATGGCCGCTGGGCCTGCGCGTCCGGAGCCTGTGCTCCGCAACGGGAGAGGCCACAGCCGTGAGAGGCCCACGTAAAAAAAGGAGTTAAAGTTGTTTCAGGATGTAGATAATTAATAAGAATTTATTGGACTAGTAAATACTTTCTTTCCTTTATTTTCTAAGGCAATTTATGTGTGTTGTGATACAATTCAGAATTTCTAAGAACTCTTTACCCAGTATCATGAATATAGATAGACTTAATAACTATATTTGAGGTTGGTAATTTTGATCATTTGAGGGTCATCTACTCAATCTAGCTACATCTGAGACTACTGGCAGTTGGAAGAGAAAGGGAGCTTTCTCTTTTCCTGTAGCAGCAGGAACATACTTCCCAGAAACACAGCCCCAATCCTCCACTCCCACTCCCACTTTCTAAAGAGCCTGTTCTTCTAGTGACTGTCCTGTTCCCATTGCCTTTTTTTTTTTTTTTTTTTTTTTTT